GCCGTCACCTAAAGCTGCTGAAAGATTGCTGTTATACATCGTCGTGCGATTACCAGGAAGATGCAGCTGCTGCGAAGTAGATGAGCACTACTTTGCGGTGATACGGTATCGATCATAAACCGCTCGGGAGTGACAATGTATATCCGGTGTATTTGTGTCTTAACGTTTGCAGTATTGCGATGCTCGTGTTAAGGGTTGATCATATGTACGCATGTGAATGGCTGACGACACGCTGCGTCGCTGCAAGGTCAGCATGAGCATTTTTAGTAGGCATTCCCACAACGAGTAGATGCGTTGTTCACTTCCTTCATTATAGTTATCATCCGTTAAGTGGTTTTATTTCGTTTCCGCTTATAGGCCAGGATGATGCTGGCAATCGTCGGCCCGATCTTTGCTATCGCGCTTAGACAAAAGTGGCCGAGCCTTGATGTTCACAAGCTTCTTTATGATATTGTAATTTACGACGGGGCAATGTCACTCCACGACGACACTGCCAAGCCAGTACATAACTACGGTTATCACAATATCTTAAATTACGTAGAATTGAGCAAGGTGAAGCCTCTCACGACTTCGCATGCGCGGTAGAGGCATTCACGAGTCTGGTGGTAGAGTGCCGTATCTCGGTCCGAAGATCAGTGACCTCGAGGTCGGTTTCCTGTCTTGTTGCCCATGTTTTTGGCGTGGAATGATAGTCTTACTTTTATGCCACGGTCCGCTATTCGACCAGCGGAATAAATGCCACAGATGCATATCCCCACGCAACATTCCAGTTAGGTTGCACCTCCGCGACGTTCTTGCAATCATCGTTGACGGACTCATATCCGTCATCAGAGGGTGCACTGTATAATCACATGGCTGTTTGCAATCTTTTGTGACATACCCACCAGATTTTGTGACAGCCCTAAAAAGTAGCACCAGTCAAGATGGACGACAGTCGATGCACCTGTGGCATCGTGCCCTGTATTTGTGTAGGAGACGTCGAGGGCGCCGTCGACTTTCTCGACGAAGGTCATGATAGCCACGTACCCACCATCGGCGATGCCGTGGATACGAAGTCGAAGCTGCGCCTGCTCTTCGCAGCCGATGCCACGTCGCAGTGCGTGAGCTGTATGATGCTGCCGTGTATCTGTCCTGCTGACGACGAGGCCGCGTGCGTGCAGGCCACGCGCTCGCCGGCGTCTGGTCACGATGTGGACGCTGTCGATGAGGAGACGGACGAGTATGGACGAGTTCGACTGGGTGTGCCCTTCGCTACTACTCGTCAAGTACAGAGAGATGACGACATGTGGATTGCGAAAGAGATCAAAGCATTGCTCAAGCCCCACCAGAGAGAAGGCGTGCGGTTCTTGTACTCCCATGTGGTCGCTAAGCGTGGGTGCATTCTGGCAGACTATATGGGTCTCGGCAAGACGCTTCAAGTGATAACGGTCATTTATTCCTTCATCGTTGACGAGATTGATGCGCGAAAACAAAAAAGAGATGCGACGCGCAGCTGCACCGTCATGGAAACAGGGTCACTGAAAACAGAAGAAGAGGACAAGAAGAAGGATGCGGACCCTCCGGCGACAGTGCTGGTTCTATGCCCTGCCATCTGTTTGTCAAATTGGGATTCTGAGTTCGAAAAGTGGTTGAGTGTCGAGGCACGTGCACGTTGCCCGGTCGTCTTGTTCGATTCGTTCACGACTAAGGGCACCACTGCAGGCCGCATGCGACTTTTACAGCGCTGGAAACGCACCGGCGGTGTATTGTTGATGGGATACGAGATGTTTCGTGGCTTATTAAATCCAACCATTGCGTCAGTAAGCACCAGTCCTGAGAATACTACATCCATCCGAGTATGCTCGCGTATGGCTTCAGCTACAATGGAGATTACTAGTGCTTCTGCGCGCGAAACTGCTCAAATACAGCGTACAGCACGAGAGTTTAGGCGGTTGCTTTGTGCTCCAGGAGCAAGCCTTGTCGTCATGGACGAAGGACACAGAATGAAAGACCCAAGCTCGTTGCTGTGTCAAAGCGTGGCCCAGATTCAATCTCCTCGACGTTTGGTACTCACTGGGTATCCTGTGCAGAACTCGTTGTCGGAGTATTGGTGCATGGTCAATTTTGCGCGGCAAGGCTTTCTGGGTACTTATGACGAGTTCCGAGCGAAATATGAGCGCCCAATCGTGGGAGGAAGCACGACGCATTCGCAAGAGCTAATTGAATTGCTACACAGTGTCGTGCTGCGTAGAGGCAAGGCATTGCTAAGTTCCCAGCTACCACCAAAAAAAGAGTGGATCTTGTATTGCAAGCTCTCTCCAGTCCAGCATCGATTATACTGTGACTTCCTCGAGTACTACAACGATGGTGCCGGAGCCTCTGCCGACCTCTTGACTGCTTACGCCGCACTTCTTCAAGTGATGAACCACCCGGATATTATCTATTCGAAGCTTTGTCCGACCGGAGATGATGGTTCCGCACTACAGCTGGGAAGTGACAATGAACCGACCAACGTATTGCAATCGTCGGATGGATTAAGTGGTTGGGCGTGGGAGAGCGAAGAGCGCTTGCAGGTAAAGCAACAAAACGTTGTAGCACAACGGCGTCGAAAGCGGCAGAAGCTTACGGATACGCAAAATGCCTCGGTATGGGCACGATCCGTAATATTTGGTGAGAACGACCAGGGAATTGATAAGCCGATACAGGGTATGACGGACAATTATCAAACGCGAGTGCTGGAAAACAGTGGTAAGATGCTTGTACTCTTGCGCATCGTAGAAGAGAGCTTTGCCTGTGGCGACAAGGTTGTCGTGTTCTCCCAGAGTGTTCCTACGCTCAAGGTCATATCAGACTTTCTGCATGCGAGCTCTTTTAGCCCATCAAGTACTACGGACGACTCCTCAAAAGTGCATGAGGACTCGAACAAGAGCAACTTTAAGTGCCGCAGGATCGCTACACGACCGAATCGCGACCCTGCTGGAATATTGCGAAAGCGTCGAATTCATGCAGCAGCTGGCAGCTCGCGTACTCGCATGACCAGTAATGATTCTGCTACGGTAAGTAATACGGATTCAAAGGAGTGGTTTTTGCAGATTGATGGCAGTACGAATAGCGCCAAACGCATGGAGTACATTCAGGTATGGATCTTGTAGGCGCGTGCGGTTTCGGTTCCATACGACATCTTTTACCAATTGATGCTGTGTGTATTGCCTAGCGATTTAGCGCGATCGGTTCACCTGTGAAACTGTTGCTGGTGTCTACGCGCGCCGGTGCTGAGGGCATAAATCTCCACGCTGCCAACCGCCTAGTGCTGTTTGATGTCAGCTGGAATCCTTCAAACGACCACCAGGTAAACGATAGCAACCGTCCCTGTTGATTGGTCTGATGATTAACTTGATTCATGCTGTGTTCAGTCAATGTGCCGCTCTCACCGCATCGGTCAGGCGAAAAGCGTGCACGTGTATCGGCTTGTGAGCACAGGCACTATGGAACGCATGATATACGAACAGCAAATGAAGAAGGTCGACTTGTCCACTGCAGTGGTGGATAGTGACGAGCTCATCAACGACAAGAAGGGAGCAGCAGATCCTTATAGTCCTGCAAGAACAGATGTCGATGCAGCAGTGAAGGAGGCAGAGAACTCGGTACCGTTTAGCGGCTTTCTCCAGCCGCCCGCAGAGATCAACTATGACAAGGAAGTTGTTGTGGACGAGACTATTGTCGAAGACGATCCAGTCTTGGCATCGTGTGTCAAACAGTTGGGTCGGTGGCTAGTAGACGTTCGCCGCATTGGCGAACCTACAAGTGACAGGAATCAGCCAGAGTAGTGCTCGTTTGCAGGTTGCACTAACGGTGGTTATCACCTGCTCTACTTGCCAAGAAAACCTATCGACCTCACTGTAAACATATACACGATAATTCTGATGTCGAAGGTGCCACAACGCATTTCAGCAACTGCGGTACCCGATGCAACGCCACCGGAGCCCAAGTTTAGGGTTCATCATGCAGGAGTTGGTTGATACAGCGTCACGCACATTGCCGCTGACAAACCCGACATGAAGGCAGTCAATACTGTTGATTCAAAGACAGGGTTTCGATACTTGCTCGCTTTCATACATCGGAACTATACATCCTTTACGTTTGAAGGCACGAGACGACCTTAGTTGAATGGCAACATAGTTATCAGCCAACATGGGTTTGGCGCAGTACAGGACGGACACATACAATTGGAACATCTACTACTTCCTGCAATTGGTCAAGTCCAATGAGTCAACCAAAGCTAAGAATGAAATCTTAGACTTCAGTATAGTTGAGAAATACCTGTTTTGCTCATTTCCCATTATGGTACCATTCGCGAAGAGAATCTTAGGCAGGCCGTTTAGGATTCGTCAGTCGGTTTATTGAGTTTGCTAAAAAAAAAGACTGTGTGGCTCCAAATCGAGTTTGTTTTCACTGACATCAACATCTTACCGATCAATCCAGAAATTCATAATAGGCAGTCATTACAACTTTGCAGCACTTTTGCTTTCGTCATTCATGCATCCAAACTGAGTATAAGGTAAAATGCATGACTGGCAGAGTTTCATGTATACCGCGCGCGCGTAGGCGCGGCAAGGAATAACTCTTTAGTATTCGATCGTTTGTGAAAAGTCGACTTGCGCGCGAATCATCCGGTAAACTAAAACAAGAAAAGTTTCACAGTCTTTACAGTTTGAGACACCAACTGTTTTATTGCAATATTTGGTGCTGAGGATCGCAGGTAGCGCTATGTTCGGCTGCCGGCCTCCTCAATGAGTGCCCACATTTTTCTGTTGCCAGTAGTTGTGGATGTGATGTATTGCTAGATTATAAATTATCTATTGTTGGATGTGCTTCCACTGATAGCAGATCCGATCCGACAAATAGATTGAGATTGGCGATCAATGGAAGGCGAGACGGTCTTGCCCAATTTGCTTGTTCATCTAGGCATACTAAACTCATTTGTACGGACTAACATAATTGCGAGTCTGAGGGCTAAGCTCGACGGGATACGCCAAGGTAAAACTGAGCGTCTTGTTAGCTTCGGTCTGTGTGTGTTTATGTATCTGTGTCGCTTGTTACTCATGCGGAGAACATCACATCATGAGGTTTTCGTCGACCACTAAGCAGGTGCCGGTTGCAATCACGAACATAGCCTACTAATGCAGCACCACCATCAGTATCAGCAGCAAAACAACAAGTAGCGACTCCTGTAGCAGCAACTTAAAAAGTAGTGATGTCAGCAGCAGTAAGAACGGGGAGAACGCAGCTGCCTGTGAATGCCAGACCTAATAACGACGCGAAGGAGTAAACACGACGTAGGAACATGCGTCGTGCACAGAGCTCTCGAGACAGACATATCTCCTCTTCAAGCGATGAGCACTATGATTTGGTGCATCTTACTCACCCGTGCGACGCGCAGGCGGGTCGTATTTGCTGCGACAGCACGTGTGCCCGGTTTGTAGCTTATATGCGATCACAGCTTTGTTTGCGAATCGCTAACCCAGCATTGCCAAGCGAGGCGGTCCGCTGCGAGTTGGACCTGTTTACCTACTCAAAACCAAAATGAGATTGCAAACGTACAGTTGGGCTGGTGCAGCAACATGCAACTCAGTCGAGACCTCCGACTAACATCTGATCACACGTCAGGCTTAGTGGGAAAGCTACTGGGACGAGCACAGAACTAGTCGGAGTCAGCACCTGTATAAGATTAAAAAGCGCTTGCGAAGAACAGTCCTTGCGGCTAACGCCTGCAATCGACACACCACGCAAGCGCATGTGATCGTGACGTCCACGCTAAGAGGAGTTACCATCAACAAATCATTGCCGGTAGTTGCAGTAGGAGTTTAGTAGTTGTGCTAGTAGTAGCAGCTATGGTTGTAGTGGTCTCGAGTTCAGTACCTGGCGACCATATTGGGCTCATTAAGAGCGATGGCACTGATTTCTTTACGATATTCTTACATGAAAAAAGCCCGTGATCTCTTCGACATCCCCACTATGGCACGCACCTGTCCGACGTGTGTCGTAGGGGTCAGAATCACAACGACCAACGGCTACATCAATGCGCTTGGGGCGTCCTGACCTCGCTCCAGTGACATCCATCGCCTGCGCTCTAGTGACGGCAAACGTCTTCGAGATGCGCGCCACACGCGGCTCGGAGCGCCACGGAAAAAGGCCCAAGAAGCACAAAGACCGCGGCGTCAAGTTCAACGAGCGGCACGCGCTAAAGTACGGTCTGTCCGTGTGCAGCCGCAATGCCAACACGTGCGTCGTGGAGTCGGTCATGTGCAAGTTTTGCGTCGCGTTCGGCAAAGAGTCGGCGGCCGACCCGACCCGCAAACGGCGCGCGACGGCCAATATAAAGTACTTCCGCCAGCCGTTTCGGGCGGACCACTACCTGTCGCACTTGGAGATTAACCACAAGGCCAAGTGGAGCGACTACGAGCAGCTGTCGAGTCTCGAGAAAGACAAGTTCTTTGCTGTGCACGTCCAGGAGGTCGCGAGGAATGCGCTGGCGCTCGCGCAGCCGCAGCTGTGCGCTGCTTTAGTACCGAGCAGTGATATGAGTGTGGAGGCTGACTTGATGGAAGTGGGAACGCCAGATGTGCAGCGTGTGGGACCTGTGCGTCTACCGGCCTCGAAGATTGAACAGCGCGTGGTGGAGGAGCTCATAGGCAGCATGTTCTTTGATGGCCGTCAGGAGAACCATCTGTCCTCGAAGACGCATGTTCTGGACGTTTTCTGTCGCACGGAGGATGCAGGCGATTACGAAATTGTCATTAAGAATCGGCGTCTGTACGATCTCGCCATTAAGTTCGTCGCCTGTGGCGCGTCCTTCCGTCTGGCTTCCCACATGGTGCAATGCACAAAAGACGAAACAAAGCTGGCTTGTTATGGTGGGTGCTCAGAGCAGAGAGTAGCAGGTTACGTCTGTGCAGTAGTAGCAAGCAACCTGCAAAAGATTGCACTGATGATGCGCTCCTCGTGGACCTACACGATCACAACGGACGCAGCTGTCCATCAGAGCACATCGTATCTGGGCATTCGTGTGCGTTTATGGCAGAATGGTGCGCTGCACGACTTTCACCTTGTAAACTTGCCCGCGTTCGACCAGCATCCAGCCCCAGCCGTTATTCAACAGCTCGCGACGTTACTGAATGTCATGGATGTACAGTGGAAAAGCAAATTGTTGGGCATAACTACCTACAGCAGTGGTGATACAGGACACAATACTGGTACGACGGGATGGCAACAGGGACTTTCATCACGACTCGCGACACTTGTGCAGAAGCCCGCTTTTTATCGTATCTGGTGTGGTGTGCATCGGTTGGAGGTAGTCGTCAAGAATTGCGTTCTTGCTATCAGTCACAACGCGTTTTATGATGAACTTGTGTCCATCCTTGCTGCGCTGCGCCAAGATCAACAGGCATCTGGCGACGACTGTTCGGATTGCCTTTTTGTCGGTACCATCATTCCTGATCTCATGACTGCGTTTTCCGGTGCACGAGGGTTTACCGAAAAGCTGACGGCAGTACTGATGTGGTTGATGGAGCACCGCACAACCGTCGTGCAACGGCTACGAACTAAGTCGCCAGCATCCGAGCCGTCTGCTTCTTGGTGGGTGTGCGTGGCTGCTGCGCACCGCGTGATGGCTGAAGTTACATACGTCATGAAAAAATTGCTGAGCATGGAGAGTGGACCAAATCTTTTGAGTGAGCAGGTGCAAGAGTTGCGCAAATTGGCGCTCATGCTGGCAGACGTCGCCGGTACCCGGCGAGATTTGTGGGAGTCTCAAGACCCTAGCGTATGTTGTGCTGCAGGGTCGTTCCAGTTGACCTTCCAGAATGCGCAGCAATTTATTCAGAGTGAGGGCGGTGCTTTGGCTTGCGAGATGTTCGACATGCTTCGAGGAGTTGAGCGGCTACAGATCACGAGATCTGTGGCACACTTCGTAGTAGACCTGACCTTCAATATCGCCACGATTGCCCAGGAGGGACGGCGCTATTGCGAGGAAAATGTCGGAGTGCTCGTTAATGTGCCGATTGTGATGCCTATCGAAGTGTGTGAAATGGGAGAAGAAGCTTTTTCTAAACTCCTCTGCGAGCAGCAACCGCGATTACGCGAAAGCTTTTCCGACGATGAAGTAGAGGCTATCCGGACCGAGTACGACGAGTTTGTGCTGGCCGTGAAGCGTGAGCCTATCCTTGGTGGTGTGCTGAAGAAGCACGACCGCGACACGGACACGTCCTTTGCCTGGTCGTGCGTAGAAGGTAGATTCCGCCTGTTGCAGAATTTTTTTGGTGGGCTGGCGTCCGTGGTCCCCGACCCGACGGCTGGTACTCTGTCAGCGGACCTGACCTGCTTGAACTGGGAGAAGCCTGACTACCGTCAGACGATGGTCGACTTTGCACTTGAAGGCATCTTGCACGCCAAACAGAAGATGAAGGTAGAGCTGGTGGAAGTCTACTGCTTCCAATCGGGGGCTTCGACATCCACTGCTAGCGATAGCGTATCGGGCAGTAGCAGACCAGGTACACCGGGCAGTAGCAGACCAGGTACACCGGGCAGTAGCAGACCAGGCACACCGGAGGCGAATTTTGTGTCATGTGTTGGGACGGCCTCGACGATTGTACCACACGATACCAGCATGTTGGACACGTCTCTTCCAGCAGCGAACGTGGCGATGCCTGTGAAAACTCAAAGTACCACGGAAGCGCAAGAGAGTGTAAATATAGCTGGTGTGGCTGTGACGATGTCGAAGAAGGAAGGGCTAGCTCCTGCAAGCAGCATTGGTGGCGCTAGCACCGTCACTAGCTCGAATCATGGATACACGCTCGTGTAGTTGAACGTGCAACACTGTGTCCGTAGTAAGGATCTTATACACCGATCTGCCCCGCACTGAGCTTACGTGTGACGCTGCTGCAGACTCGCGCTTGGCATATACGGCTTCCACAGCATCATTGGGTGAGAGTTTTGGCACGTAAATGGCGCCGGACGGCCTCCATTTGTCGCTGCTTACAGTGTGGGAACATGAGTCGTTCAGCTGAAGTCGCTACGTGCTTTTACCGGACGAGGGCAGCTGACGTTGCTTTCATTCTCAAATGCATGTCGTGCATGCGACGACACATTCACAGCCCCACCTGCGCACGTGTACTAGCCTGCTGGGAGTCAAAGAAGCATAAAGACTGAATTTGGCTTGAGGTGCATCAGACCGTGAATGGCAAATGAAAACATGGGTTTGGGTCTACCTGTACGAGTGTAGACAGAAGGACACAAGCGGAAGGTCATTGCTCTCTAGACCAAGACACTCGCCATCAAAGATGCCACCTCGAATGCGTGTCAAGGTCTCACCGTACCGAGTCTCACCCTTTCGTTTTCAATGTGGTAGAAGCCACCACAAAATGGTGGTAGTAAAATGAACCTGCGTCTCTTTCATGTCGTAGTGCGACAGACGCTTGACGCTACGACCCCCCACATGATCAGTGACTGGGCGACGATAGCAGCGGTCTTGCCACAACAGCGATTACTGATTGAGGGGTGCTATTGCGCGCAACACGACAAAGCAAGCACACAGGCGACGAAGAGACTCTTGTTATTCGAATGGCATTTAACTGGGTTAGCCATTCCAGACAAGAGTACTTGTGTCGATGCTCCACGGTTCTTACGCTTCTTACCAGTACACAGATTCGTCCTAGCTCTGGTGCTGCGAGTTCGTGTTCATGCCAGCCGTGAAAGTAAAAGGCACCTTGGCCAAGCTCTGCATGTTCTTCCTCCAGTTTTCCGTCATATCGCTCATCTTGCCTTCCATTTCGGCGATCTTGCCCGTAGGTTTGCGTTGCATGCCTAGCGTCTCTAGAAATACCGCCTGCTCACTCTTTTTGAGTCCCTTCATGTTCATGATACTCCGAAAATCTTCCGCGGTACCATCAGGCCACATGATCTTAAAGCTCTCCACCAGCATCTCACGCGGAGTGCCGATGAGCTTTAGTACACTTTCCACCTTTGCGATCTCGTTGATGACGAACTTCGTGTAGCGCGATGAGACCGTCGCCGTGCTCTTCAATGAGGGCGAATACGCGTCGCTAGATAGTACTGGCAACTGGAGGAAGATAGTTTTAAGTGCGTACACGTCCAGCAGCAGCTGCTGAGTCGCCACTTGATTTACCTTTCGGCACTTCATCACGGATTGTAGGATCTTGGGCATGAAGCAGGCGGCAAACTTATCGCAGAAGTTCGTAAAATACAGCCCGGATAGCATTCGTCGCAGCACCGGTACAAATGCCCGTAATTTCTCACCCATTTGCGTCACATACACACTTTCGTCACCTACTGTCTCCCATGTCTGCCAATTTGCCTTGTAAAGCGTGGCTAACTCATCTTCCAAGGACGTTTCCAATCCTGCCACAATGCACTTTATCGCGGCAGCACCCACGTCATGAAATGCATCGATTTCTTGTGACAACTCAATGGCATCGCTGAATGCCTTATCGATCTTACTGCGAATCACTTCTTCCAGCGAGGGAAGAGTCCCGGCGCAGTACTCAGCCGTATTTACCACAAAGCAGAGCTCTTCTTCCTGTTTGTCGCCAAGCTTCACCTTATTAGTCGCACCGTTGGTTGAATAATCAATACTACCAGCTGGTCCTGAAGGTGCCGTAGGAATTTTCTCGAGAAGCCGGTGCGAATAGAGCTGGAAGCAACGTTTGAACTCGTTCTGAAGATCGAAAAACGTTTGTCCATTCGTCAGCGCCATGCACCGATTAATCGAGTTGCGAATGTAGGCGAACATGTTGACCGAGCTCGAAAATACGGGTAATTGGCCGTTCCGATCCACGAGTTCTGCACTCATAACTTCGTCAATCATTTGTTCCATATTCTTGCGCTCGAGCGCGACATACGCCGTCATGAAGGGATCAAATGAGCGAGATATCAGCCCTTTGATTGTTGGCAGGCTTTGGCTGTCTTTGCCAGAAGAGTTGCCGATTTTGTCCATCTCTTCCTTCAAAACCTCACGTTGAGCTGCACGCTGTTCGTGGCGGTGTTCTTTTTTTGGTATGCTCTCAACAGCGTGAGGATCAAAAACTTCGTCGTCGTCGCTCAATTTCTTCTGCGCTAGATCTTTTTCTTCTTCTGCAACACTTTCGAATCGCCGAGCTGCGTCGCGTTCAAACATAAGCGTTCGTTGTAGCGATTTCAGCAACAGCGTCACGTCTAGTTCGTCCGGGGTGTGCGCGCCTATTTGAGAGAGTAAATGCGTACGCGTGCATTCGCAGAACTGGATACACAGTTGTCGAGCGATTTGCCAATCATCCGGAAACACAGCATTCAAGCGAGAATCAATTGCAGCAAGCAGGTTGTAAAACCATGTGTACCGTGCTTCAGCCTGTTGCAAGCCAGCACTCTCGCCTCCCTCGCCATATTGGCGTTCATACGCCATCAACTGGTCGTTGCAGAACAAATGGATGAGTTTATCTCGCGTTGCCGTGCCCAGTGCATCCACAACAGCACAAGCTGCCGAGAGGTTTTCAAAAACCGCCTTCCGCTCTTCGGCTGACGGAAAGTTCTCCTCCAGCGATTCCATCGGTCCAATCGATCGAAAGTCAGCAAAGATCTGCCCTCCAAGCTCTTCCTGCAGCGTGCGTACGGTCCGATGAAGCTCGACAATCTTGTCGACGTTCGTGTAGCCGTCAAAGTGCGTAAACAGCTGGTTCACTGCTTCAAGAAGAGGAGCAGCCTCACGATAGTTGCGCTGCGAGGACATGAACTCGAGCTGGTCGACTGCGTTCACCAGCATGTGCAGCCGCTTGAGCACTGTAAGCGTCGTCTGCAGATGTCGCTTGGCATAGTCGAGCTGCTTGATGTCGCGACAAATCTCCTGCACCATCACTTCCGACTGCTCTGCTTTCCCTCGAATGTCGTGGATCTTGTGAAAGAGCTGCTGCGTCGCTGCCTTGGCGTCCTGGAGATCCACGAGCGCCTGTCGGGCCGCCAGACTCTGCTCCTGCGACGCGTGCGACAGCGAGTCGTCCAGCTCCTTCATGCGCCCGCGGAGTCGACCCATAAAGTCGCCAATGTCGTCCAGACTCTGCTCGTCCGGGAAGTTGCGGTTGATAAACTCGCGCGCATCGAAGTCCGGTCGGTCCAACACGTCTTCCGAGGGCAGCACCTGTGTGTGCGACATCATCATCATCATCATCAGCAGCAGCAGCAGCACAACAGCGACCGCAATACTCAATCCACGTCACGAAGAGGGGACTTGAATAATAGAGCGTACAGACCTTGTCGAGTGTGTCGTCTACGTCGGGCGAGAGCTGTAGCGCGGCGGCCTCGCGCTCGCCGACTGGAATCGAGTCGCGACGAGGCATTCGATCCGATTGTTGCGCTGATGAATAGGACAGTGGCGAGAAACGCGTTCAGCATTGTGGCGTTCCTATTTTTGGGCTTTTATGGGATTTTGACACTAAGACGGCGCGCCGAAATTTGGAGAGTGTATCGAGTTCGTTGTCCTGCAGCAAATTTGCGAGCACAGCATTTTTGCGCTCGATTTTGGAGCATGACGGCTTGTTTTACGATCTAAATCATTCGTGTTTCGCTACACTTCCGTACATGGCTCTGCCATATGTCGGATCGTTTCAGGTCTGACGGAAATTGGTCGAGTTGTTGCTCTGGCAGCCATCTAATTTCGCGTCTGTAAGTCCGATTTAGGATTTCCAAAAGCGTATCTTTTCGACGAAACATACTCTGCTACCACGCAAAACTGGTCTAATTAGACCATGTATACAAATGTATAGCTCAGTGGCTTCGTCATATTTCTTCACCGAGTACAGGTTGTTACGTGCTGGTAAACCACTGTCTGCGCTATGAGCCCGCGGGTCCATCAACGAACTTTCTAGCCACCTTTTTACGACATGTCTTCTTACTTATGTCTTGGTCGCACAAGAATTTTGCAGGATAGGATAGTCAGTATGGTTCAGTCAAACGTATTGTAATCGATAAGGAGTGCATTTGCTGCGCTGTCTACAATCTCGACGATGAGCTATATGCAACTTGTACGTGTCCATTGCTTTTTCTACGCTAACGTAAGGCCTGCAAAGGCTACAGTAGGCACACTACAAGGTCGTGTGCGAATTCGGTACAAAACCCGGAGCTTTCCGCTCACCGTACGATGGTCGGCCGTTCCGTTAGCCGGTACTATCACCGTCAGGACCAACGCCGTCATCATCCGTCATCGTGGCACGTTCTGGTCCCGAGGAGGTGGTCGAAGTCGTGCTCGAGGCAGAATGCGCAGTCGTGGCCGTTGTGCTCGTCGTCGATGCATTTGAAGAGTTCCTCGATGTGGTTGTGCTAACTGGAGCAGTAAGCCCATTCGCTGCCGTGGGGTGCTCCAACATGGTCCGAGTCGCGTGCTCGGAGGCCGATGAAGATGTGTTGGTAGACGTTGAAGTAGAGTTCGAAGATGTCGTCGAGGCTTCGCTCGACACCGTCGCACTGATTGGCGCTCGAGGTGTCGTTGCAGGAACTGCATTGAGTGGTCCCAGATCCGATGCAAACCCGAGCGGCGCCGCGCTCCTCGAAGCGGTGCACGATGTCCGAGCAAACGGCGGCTGGTTGCCTTGGCCCGCACTCCCCGACGGCACCAAGTCCTTGATCTTGATGCCCTTGTCCTTGAGGTCGGTCAGCACCGTGCGCACGTCGATAGCAGCGTTGGCACACCCACCGCAGTGATGGATTGCCACCACCAAATTGTCTCTCGGTGAGAGGATCGGCGACCCCGAGGACCCTTCTCGCGTGTCTGCGTAGTGTCCCACCTGGTCGGCTCCACATATCCCTTCTTCATTGACACTGTGAATCGTCGCATCAGCTCCGCCGTCGACTTTGCTCGCAATGCGCTTTGCAAAGCCCGAGGGGTGTTGCGGCACGTAGATCGTCTCGTTCAGCACCGGTCCCGACTCGCGCAGCTGGAGATACCCGTACGACGAGAGATCGACGCAGTTCGGCAGCTTCAACACCGAGTAGTCGATCTCTTTGCTTCCGTAGATATAGGTCGCCGTCGTTGCCACCACTTGTCCAGGGCAGCCAAGACCTTTCTTGCACTCTTCACGGCACGTGGAGCTCTCGGCGGCGAACTCAATGTCCGTGTTCATGGCCCATTCGGGGTTTTCGTAGCAGTGTTGGTTCGTAAACATGTGCCCCTCGCTGCCTGCCAGCCACCCGGTGCACAGATAAGTGCCGTTGATGAGTAGACGAGCAATGGCTTGGGACTTTTCGTAAGCTTGAGGCATTTGCCTAGCCAAAGTCGAGCCTGGTGCATAGCATTTGACTGGAGAGGACTGGTCGCCATCGCCGCATACCGATTCGTGGGGTACGGTGGGAAACCCACGGGAAAACCCAGTGACGCGGTAGCCCTGGCCTGATGTGGGCACCCCGACCGAGTTGTAAGTGATCGTGACAGAGGTGCCTGGAACGAAGCTAGCAACGAACGTTCCGCTTTGGTCGCGACCTCGACCCGTGTACGTGTGCGAGACCGCTATGTCATCATCCGGGGAGCTGATCACCACGGAGTCCCCGTCCGGCAGGTCGAATCCAGCAAAGTGGACGGCGATATACGACGCGAGGTCGTAGGAGATATCGTCCTCACAAGACTCGCCGGCCTCGACGTGAAGGCTCCAGGGCTCCGTTGTACCGACGATGGCAATGCCTTTGTCTGTGTATTTGGCTCCCGTGGCAACTGGAAGCGTCAGGAACAGGACGAAGAGCGGGTGAAGAAGTTGTACCATCTTGGAAGGTAACTACCTAACTGCTCGTGCTACTTGAGGACGAATTGGAAAGTGAACAAAGGAGGAGGACGGACTCCGGGCTACAGACCCCACGCACTGGTGCGAACAGCGGTGCAACAACATTACTTACTTGATCGCTCTACTTTAAATCGCTTTGCTCGACGATGCAAAGTGCCGATGTCGTGGACACGACGGGCGATCACTGCAGACTCGGCGGCAACTGACAGAGTGGTCAGTTCGAAGTCGAAAAGAGCTGATTTATTGCGGTGCGTGAGCAACCGCCAAGTTATCGTCAGCAGTGCCAGTTGTTGGGTGACGGTTGCACTGGCGAGGAGAAAGAGGTGCAAGTGATGCTTTTTTGCGTCACAGCAACCGCTACGACGTGCTCAGGACTTTCGCTACAAACGGGCACGTGTCCACTCAAAACTGCTCCACGTGTGTGTGTGTGTGAAGGTCAAACATGGACAGCACTAATCGCTAGGGTTGACTTGCGACTACAGACACTTGGAAGTCGATCACATCTTGGCTGCTTTTACCGAGAGAGAAAAGTCTATGAAGAAAGGTCACTTGACCTTTTCAAACCAAAGAGATTTCGGTGCTGGAAGATCTGCGCGCGGGACCACGGCACAGTATCCGGAGGCCCTCTCGGTGGAATGCATGTTGGCAGCTCCCATTTGTTAATCCGAAGATATCGGGCTTCTGCTCTTTTTTAGACATGTTCGCTGCAGAGGCTTTGCACTTTTGCTTCGTGCGCACCAACATGTCCAATCAACCAGTACAGCAGTGGTCGAACATTCGTCTGAATAGCTGTTTCTGTCGCAGGATCTACAGCAAGTGTTGGCAGCTACATCGTCTGTCGACAGACGCTGACAGTCGACAGTCGCTCTTGAGAAACATCATGTAGCTGACTGAATTGAGTCAAGATTGCGAATGCCACATGGCGTATCTCACGACAGACTGTTCCCCCACCTCTAACACCCCCAATGAAGTTGTCAATCCAGCGACGCGGGGTGATGCGTCGTTGTCGGTCGCAGTGGTCTAACAAGTAACGTGTAGCGCACCTCTTCCGCAACTCACACTGCTACTTCTCGCAAGCAATCGTCAAGTAAGCTTGCAACGTAAAACGAGTTGATTGTTCATGATGAACTCGTTGCAAGATGTAGCGAACATCCGCTTCCAGTGGTGGTGTTTCGATGTCCATCGTACGACCAGCCGCTCTCAATGGACATACATGGGTATCCGCCCATCCGCCTCTCCCTCTAAGTGCCAGAAGCGTCATTCTGACCTCTTTCGTTTCGAGACGTATGAGTCGTGAGAGCTCATATGTGCATTTTTGCAAACGGGAAATGCGTCCAAACGTGGGTTGGATCACCAAAGAAGGACATTTTGATGGAAAGGAAAACGCACAAAATGTGCCGCAGTTTCGCTGTGCAAAATTTAAAATTGCGGAGAAACGGCCAAGAGCGAAGCACAAGCGAGCGAGTTACAGGCGATACAACCTGGCTGGTGAACACCGGATACCTACCAGATATCTACACTTGCACACCTTGTGTCGCGGATACCTTCCGTGACGACTCAACTAGCTTTTCGTTTCTTGCTGCAACTGTACTGCATGTAGGACCTTGGACAGTGACGTTGCAATGAATCTTGAACTCGATCGCACTCAATCGGAGTTTGAATGTCTAGCACGAGTCCATGCAACGTCACGTCAAAAGGTAGCCCGAGAATATTTTGGTGCGAGCGGTAACGGAAAAAAGAAGCCAGGTCGAGACCATCTCGCAGTTATGCAATAGGAGGATCAAAGCCGCATCAGCCACAAGAGATGCAACTGTGCTGTCCACACGGTAAGTTGGGGATCTCATACAAGCATAAGGCGCTACATCATGCAATGGACGAGCAGTGAAACCCTCCCCTGTCTGCCGTAGCCATGACTCTGTCTATCTTCTTCTTCATCACCATCACCAAGTCATCCATCGACTTAGCTTTTGCAGGTGGAAATGGCGCACGTCTGATTACAAATTCCTTGTCAGTACTTCGATTGTAGAGTACTGCATCACACGAGCACGATAGCCAAGCGAATACGAAGCAGTCGTGTTGATTGGCTTTTCAGCTTCGTGAAATAGCAAGAATAATAATAATAAGAGCGTGGTGGCGTCCATTGTCATTCATCCTGTAGCAGTGGGTCGTTCGCATCCATTGCACGTCTAGCTTTGCAATCTTCTAATGACCGATGTGGTAAGTGCACCTTTCCCGTGCTTTTGCATACAAATTTGACACGTGCAATTTACAGTGACATTAGTGCAACGCTTTGCATGTTCCAGTGTTTTCCATCAGTAATGGTCACACGACAGCTTGGAAATCGCAATTGCCATACAGCAAACCGAATTGTGGGTAGCGCCAAAGACTTGCAGTTCGTTTGCACGCTTTTCATTGAGGTACACCGTGTCCTTTACGTCTACCTAAGGATCACCTACGTCCGTTTTGCCGGCCGCCTCTTCATCGATCGACGGCTTGTTGGTGCGCCGCTGCCTCAAGGGTCACCCTAGCCGGCAGCCAATAGAGTATCGCAAGTACACTTGGGTGAGAACGGTCGCCAACGTGACGACGCGTGGATCAGAAGCGGTGCTAGCTTTTTCGCGTATTTTTCGCGGTGAACGTTCGCGCTGTCGATATGACTGGAGGGAGCTGTCGCTGGAGTGGTGACAGTGGCGAGACTAAAAAGAAGGAAACGAGTGGGTTGCGTCTGTAAATCTCGATTACGCCGATCAACACGTCAACTCCGGACCCCGCACTAACACCGCGAAACGTAATCATCTCGAGACAAGAGTCTGCGCGTAGGCGACCTGCTGTCCGAGGACTAGTGCTACCTAGTCCATAAGGTAGTCTTCGTTGCGGTAAGTTGTTGGCCAGCGATAAGATATAGTGGGTCGTTCGCGCACCTAAATATACCTCACATTCTCACTCACTCGAAACCGCGTATCCCGCATTGTCAATCCACGCAACTTCAAGTTTGCTTAGCGTGGTGATGTTTGCGTGATTTACGTATAGATTCCAATTTGATCTATCGACCATGGACTCCTATCTAGTGTCCCTTTCCCTCGTAGAAAGCTCGTCTCGATCGCATCCACCTTTCCCCCGCTGTAGTGTAGGTGAGTATGCACCCCAGCAGCTTACCGTGTCATCAGCGTAAAACCAACTACAATGTAAGTAGTGCAGGTTATTCATGCCATATTCAATGCAGGCCACTCAGACTGTAGTCAGTGCAGGAGAAACTCGCCCGTTACAATTCTGCTCATCCGCATATTGCAGATGTAACTTGTGCGGGCGTCAATAAAGCGGGTGTGCACATACAATGCAAATGAAGAATGAATAGCGCATTAGGTGAGACTTTGTCAGCAACACACAATGCAATGGCCTCTGAGAAGCCGGTGAAGATACTGACGTGATCGTCTGACTAGTCGGCGTGAAATGCATACAAAGTGGTGGGCTAGTGAGATTTATCGGCCGTATTGCTCGTGAGTTGATACGGCAACAACAGTTCCATTTCCTACGATACCAGCTAGAGCCAGCAGGTTCTTACAAAACCCACTTTCTAGCAACCTAAACAACGGGTCAAGACGAGACTGCGCAAGGCAGTAGAACCCCTGCATATCCTCAGGGGGCAACTTACGTCTAAATCTCAGCGTCTTGCAATATTTAACTCTATCCTGCATGTGTCTATATCCTACACTGCGCATGGCTGCAGGTGCACTACAAGCAGGCGAAATGTCATTTTGATGTAGTCATCTAGACTTCCCAAACAAAATTGGGCTGAGTCAAGATCTTGATCGAATGGTCGCACTTTTTTTATGACACGACTACGATGTTCATCGTTCGCTCCTTGTCATCTCGGATCCACTTTCGGCTACAGGTGGCATGGAATAGCCCACTTCGAACGCCACGTTCGTACTGTTGCCGTCTGTGTGACGATAGACGGAACTGGTGCACCCAATACATATCTACCGCAAATTCGCGCAACAGCTCTGAAGAAAAGAACGCACAATCATTAGTGCGCAAGTTGACATGTACGGAAATCAGTGTACATAAAGCGAAACGAGATGTGTGGGTCGCCCATTCCTTCATCGAAGTACCACGAACTACGCTGAGCGCGCAGAAGATACATTTAATGCGTCTTAGATCGGGTTTACCGTGACAAATTTGCCACTAAGCTCATGTGATGACTGCAAAAGTGCGATCGACCGCTTGGCAGGATGCCTGAGGTACCAATGCGTGAGTCATTTGGTATCCTGATAAATGAGGAAACGTCGATTTTGAAAGCACCAACGTTTCAGGTTCCTGGATTGGAATATACAAGTTTTGCATTTTGTAGCCAAGGCATCGATGACGTTGCTCATCGGCGAAGACTTGCCCAACAATGGAGACCGTAGTCGATTTGTACATTATCACGTTCGTGTCGATCGACGGGCAAGACGGCGAAGGCGTAATATTTGTGGGGTACTTTGCAATTTTCGAGCCTGTCAATAGCTGAACTGGTGTGGGCTCGCAGTAATTCACCGAAACATGTGGAGATGTGATCACCCATAGGCTGCCGCGGATACGCATTATCCACGCTACTTTCAATACTCTTTTCATAGCTTTGTCGGGTCGTCAAAATCTGTTCCCTGGATGCGATAGGACCTGTCATGGTCCGCGAGAGGTAATAAATCCGTCGGCCCATGACAGGCCCTATCGCAAACGTCCATCCACGAGAGCAACCAAGTCTGTATCGGCTACGTCCCCCTCGTGCACAAGTAGCAATCGTTTACGTGTTGGAAAGCTCATCAGTCCGTCGATGCGGTACAAAGTGGCTTCAAGTTTAGCACCATTTCTGTTGTACAAATTACATACAAACATACTGCGGTCACGCAAAGCCGAGACGTGCAATGCAACTTCGCTGGCGAAGAAAGATCGACACTTGATGATCCATGAGCGTGCACTGACGGCAACAAAACTTATCAAGCTCTTTCATATCTCCATTCTACTGCGATTCTACGTGTCTAACTCACCGCTTCGGCCACTTATCCTCAGGGCATTTGCAGCACGTGGCAAAAAGCGTGTATAATTGCTATTCACTGCACCACGTCACAAATGCAAACATCCCCCGTCAGCTCGTATTCTAATCAGTATGATGCAAATTCGATTGACGCTAGTCGATCCGAACGCCACATAACCACTTGACATGCATCTCGACTCCTCCGCAAGAAACATCGGTAGAGTGTATGAGAAATGGTACGACTCGATGCCGACAAGTGTCCTTCGGCATCTTGAGGGTGACAAGATTCAACTGATCGCACTGCTATGCGAAGCGTTCCAAAGCGGTGAGCCCGAGTACCGGTATCCTGCGTCTAGTATCGGTGAAATTCGCATGAGCTCGTACGACCGATTCCAAAGCGAACAATCCTTCGTGCGAAAAGGATAGCCTTCCAAAATGAATAGACTTTCGAGCTAGACCTAAATTACGGTCTCACTTCACGCGATCGCATCCCCTAACGCTAACTCAATGCTTTGACACAGTCAACGCAAGTGGCTCCTGTCAATTGAGATGCAGGAGGTGTGGCGGTCCGTGGAGCTGCCCGCGCCGCTCGAGACGAATTCGCTGGTGCAGCAGAATCTGAGCACGCGGACGGAGCTGGAGGCGTGGGTGGAGGCGCAGAAGACGCGTCTCTTGGAGGAGAAGCGCGCCGACCAACTGCGGGCGCAGGAGCACGCGCGGGCGACGGACGAGGCGCAGCGCAGGCGCGAGATGCTGCAGATCGAGCACCAGAGACTGTCAACGGGTACAGCTCCGCACTCTGTTAGCTGATTGGCTTCTTTCGGCACTGACGTAATGGTGTAATGGTACGTCTGGTGATTCTGGTGTTATTGACGCAGAGTGCCACACGAAGGAGAAGGAGGTGACTGCGAGTCAAGTGGAGATCGAGGCGCTGCAGGCCGAGAAGAGCAGGAGGGAGCCGGTGGTGAAACATTTGCTGGCCAAGATGGTGGAAGAAGACGCCAAGCTCAAGCAGCTACTGGCAGAGTCGCAAAAGCAGAGGACGACGCTGAAGCAGCAGCTACATGATCTTAAGCAGGGGCTCGCCATGTATCAGAAACTGGGACTCGTCTTTGAGCACTCGGAAGGTCAGTAAACAGTGTTGCTGACGGCACCCAAGACGAGAGTCGGACTAACGTGCGATGGTGCTGCTGTTGCTGCTGCTGCGTAGTGAATCGCATTGTCATCCGGTTCACTCAGATTGACGCACAGGACCCCAGTCGCGAGTTTTCGTTTCGCATCACGATCAACCCCATCACGGATCGATACATTGGTGCGTCTTCTGTTGTGCAAACGAAGTTGTGAAGTGTGTTGCGGTAATGCTAACCTGTTCTTGTATATGCGCTCTGTCTAGTCGATAACTGCAACGAAGAAGTCGCGGCGCTGGACGAATTGGTCACGAATCTGAACGAGTCTGGTGACTTGGCGCGCTTTGTCCGCTCCATGCGCCGACAGTTCAAGCAGCTCGTGTAGCATCGACTTTCAACCTGTTTATATACGACGCCGTTTCGTGTCCCGGTGCTGGTTTGTCATCGCAAGTGCGACTCGCTTCGACTGCAGATGCTGCGGTGTTGGCGGTCGTGACCCATCCAGTGTAGACTGCGGCGGAGGTCTAGAAGGCAGGTGTGGACCGATGAACTCAGCCTTGTCTTGAGCTACGATAGGCGGAAGAGGAGGTGGTAATGGTGGATTGCACGAATGCTGCCTCGCACCGTCGCGTAGCGCTGCTGTCGGTCTCCAATTTGCACTACGATTGCCACGACACAGAAGCAACTGCCGTCGCCGCGCTAGTTTGTCCATCGTGTCCTCGAGCGTCTCGAAGTGAGGCGCGTACGAGATCTGCAGTCGACTGCCGAAGAACAGCTTCTGGACGCCGCGCGCTTTCGCGTGTCGCGCATTGTTCACCGTCTCATATTGCACCCACACCGTATCCGCAAACTCGTCGTCGTCGTCGTCGTCGTCGTTTCCCTCGACCCCCAGTGCTGCTTGTCGGTCGTCTGCATGATCGAGCAGACGGTACTCGCAGACCTTTCCGTACAGACGGAGCCTCTGGAGCAGGTCTTCAATCACACCGAGCGCCGGGACATTGCGCACCACTACGTAGCGCGACTCGCTCGCCACTGTGAACACGCGCACACTGCGACTGTTCATGACGATTTCCAGCCACCCGTCAATCACATACTGGACGTCGCATTCTTTTGACAGCGGCGCACTTGACGGTCGAAAACACACACGCAAAAAAAGTCAACGCGATGTCTCTTGTACCGTGAACTTAATAGACGACAATGGTAAACGCAACGCAAGGCGACTTCAAATAACTTAACGAGCATACCGGTTGTCGTACTCGTCTGCGTCCTCGCCCTTCGCTCGCACACCCGTTGCTACTACTACTCCCAGCACGGCACCCATCACTCTCCACAGTCGACAACAACGCCGTTACCCGAAGTGTCTCTGTCTGCACAGCGTCGCGACACCGAACTTCAACTACTGCCGCGATACCGACTCGGAGCGGTCGACGACTGCAACGGGGCTGCAGCACTATTGCGATAGGTGGAGCTGAAAGAGTTGGGCGGACAATGCACCGCACCACGGGTGTTCACGCGGGCTTGAGATGTGTTCAGTACCGCAACGTTCGCGCGTTCGTCGTTGCAGGCGCGACCTTCGCCGTCGTCTCCACTTGTACGTGTCGGCAACTGCACGCTCTCCCACTTTCCTCGTTCTTCGTCCTTTTTATCGACGCTGAGGTCTTGCATTGAACGTCGGATAGCTTCCAAAAGCATCAGCTCCTCCAGCCGTGCAGCGTCTGCAGACGTTGTCGCAACGCGGGACGCTGCGTCGTTCAGCGCGGCGATGCTGTTCGGGTGCGGACTGTTGGTCACAGGCTTGTCGCTGATACGAAGCTGCGAGCGAAGCGAGTCGCGAATACGGTCGCGATCTTCCACTGACGCGTAGTGTACACCATGCGGGCTCGAAGTCTTAGTGTGCTTTGGTTCTGCGCGCTCGGGAATGCCAATCGCGCTGCTTCGACGCGGGGACCTCACGTTCTGCGTTGCATACAAAGAGTGAGGTAAACCAGTCCAGATCAACGTGAACAAGAGAACCAGTGACCACACTTACCGGCACAGAGCGGATCGGGGTGACCTCTGTCGGCGACGGCGGCGTGTACTTGACAGCAAACGCTTCGTGATTGCAAAAGGGACAGCTAAAGAGTTCACACAACCCACGTGTGAGTCAACAGCCATCAACTTCCAGTCCGTCAGGCTGCAAACTGTCGTCACGTACGAAATCGATTTGCGTGGCGGTCGGATCTGTAGATAGCACTCGGAGCAAATCGGTTTCTTGCAGCAGCTCGACGTGTTGAGGCTCCCGGGATAGAACTGGACAGCGCCACACAACAGGGCATCGTCAGGTCAGTCCGCCACTCCCCTCGGACACTCTCCTCCTCCTTGTCGCTCCCTCACCATAAAGCAGATGGGGCACTCGAGTGTGAACCCCTCGTCCTTCGTCTCTTTGCCGTGGAAACGTGGCGCCAGTTTGCGCTCGACGATCAGACGGCGCGCCGTCTTGAGCTCCCACGGACAGCTCGGGTACAGTCTACACAACGAGACAGTCAGTGAGTGGGGAGGGAAAGAGGGTACGCGACCGGGTACGCAGACCGTACCCCGTGGGCTTCGTGTACTTCTCGAGCTCGCGCGTTGCCGCCGAGTGGCGTCGGCCGCTTTTCTTCGACGTCACGTTGCCCATGACCCCTCTCTCTGCGTCGCTTCTCTTTGCCAAATGAACCCGAGCGGCGACGACGGATTTGACGCGCTCCAGTCTGACAGTTGCGTACTATCAACCAGTTCGAGTCCACCAATCTCGTCGCGGCGGGATCACGTCTGCGCGGTTATGCGATGCTGCAGGTTCTTTCCAGCGTGATTGAAGTTTACGCGACCAGCTTGTCGCAGAGCGATTGTTTACTGCCATCCGCGGCGCCAGCACGCGAGCTGTCCGAAGGCTGCACACCAGCCGAACACCTGAGATCCTACGACCACGAATTATCCAATCGTTTCGACCTATCCGGTCTTTTTGTCCGCCGACCACGACGAAAGCACAGAGTGGACGAGAAAGATAGCGGCGTCTCTGACACAGCTCGTTCGTTGATAATGAGGATGCATGATCACAGGGCAAACTCGAGTTCGTTTCGCTCGCCTCGCTCTTGATGAGGGTTCATCTGTCGTGACAAACTCATCGATCCACTTTCGACGATCGACGCGTATCGACAACAAATACGATCACGAGTGCAACTTACGTGGATGTCAGCGAACAAGCCGCGCTACTCCAAGTAGGTACCCCTAACTTGCAGAAACGAATCCGTAACGAAGACCGGAGGCGCGGGCCGAGACTGCTTGTCAACAGCTCGAAAGGAGATCAGGTAGCACTTGGTACTTTCCCAATGTGCGAATAGTTGCGTTAGCTGCTGACCAAGAACATGCACGAATGAGTACGTGGAAGCCTTAGTCGCGCAAACGTCAGCAAGCTCATACATTGACTCTTCGTCGGTCAATTTCCCACTCACCCGTCACCTCGATAGACTGTTGCGAAGAGTAGATCCAATGCATGTAGTGGCACTACGACCATTGCACGGCCACACGTCCATTGCGTCAGCATGTTACCGGTGTACGTGCTTCTGAACAATTGAACGTTTCTACCATGGCGGAATTGTTGACGCTGCAGAGACTGCACTATCTGTACATACAGCGGAATCTCGCAAGTCGAATATGGGACACCTCGGAAAGATGGAAACGACAAGGCGAGAGCACAAGTGCTTCAGCAGGTTGTTTGACGGCGTTGACGTTTGTATTACCGCTATTGGAGAAAAAATGACAGTGCCTCAGTTTGAGCAAAACTCTGACTGCTACGACCGTGATAGAAGCTTTGATCGAAGAAAGAGCGATACGATTAGGGCATGAAAGTGAGGTCATGAGCTGGCGTAGTCTAGCGCAAGTAGGATCTCGTAGCGATAGATGGTATTCTTGAGTCATCTCACCACATTGATACAAAAGATCTGCTGCCTGGAAAACGACACTCACTACTCGACAAAGCAACATCTTGAGCTGGACATTAAGCTGTCAATGGGGTTCAATAGGTCAACATCTGCTTATCTACGAGAGTGAGACTGCAGCATTGCTTCCAGCAAGAAGCGACTGACGCTTGAGGCAGCGGTCAATGCAGTGTATGTACGTGACTGCATTCGGCAGCATCCATGTCACTATATCCTTCGACAAGGATTTGGACATGACTGACTGATGGGGCACCCTAGCAGCTGCAGCAAGTCTAATGATGTCTATGACATTCTTGCTCTGTGGTTTCAGCATAAAATCAAGTGGGGAAGTGTTATAGTCACTTGGCGTGACGCGACAGTTTGAAAGTGACGTTGATGCCCTGCAGCAGCTTCAAAACCCAAGCTACAGCATTCTTTTGTGCCAAGAAGACAATGAAGATGCGCCGTTCCGACCAGCTGCGTTTGTCGACCTCGACGATCTTTCGCTGTGCACGTCCGTGCTCTTTCCACCTTCAACGACATTTTTTTTTTTTTTTTTTGTGATCAGATGGTCTATTAACATGGGTTTAGCTATGTACAAGATCTCTGGTAAATGCGGAGCCAAACGGCCAGCCCCGGTTTGTCCGAAGGGTGGCTTTGGCTAGCCCTTGACATGCCTGGAGGCCCGTCAGGTGCTCGTTCGAGCAACTCGATGCTGGATAATAGCACGGCGCCCATGATGGCTGAAGCCTCTTTTCTGTGCTCTCTGGTCGCAATCGCGCGAAGTTGGCAGACGCATGCAGTCCAAAAGCTCTGCGTGGTTCCGGGGAGGTCGGTCACGACTGTGCTGTAGACGGCTTCATTGCGGTCGGTCCACAGCCTTGTAAGACACATCGTCGCAAGAATGTGCCACATTCTCTTCCAGACGTGGTCGGCCATTCCCCGATCCTCCTGAAAGCGGTCCTTAGTATTGCTGTGCGGTGCTGTGGTACGTGCGACACTCGTCGACTTGCACACGCTTGAAAAAATTGCTGAGTGCGCTGTCGTGATGGTCGCTCGCCTGTCCATTGACTAACGAGTTTACCCCAGAGAGCTTCAGCATACGCGCACTCCCAGAATAAATGAGCCAGAGTCTCCTTTTTTCCCCGACAGCCCGGTCGCACCTTCAACGACATTCTTTTACCACAGAAATCGTAGCGATTTGTGATCTTCCCTCTCTTCACGGGGCACAGATGCATTGTTCTACCACCTTCTGCGCGCGGAAGCTGCCCCAGTGGGCGCGAACGTGCTCGAACGCTCTCGTGGTGGACAAACGAGCGGCCAAGCAGATGGCAAGTTCATTACAAACAGATGCTAGCTCTCTGCTCAACCTTTCTCCGCATCGTCCGAGCGCAGGAGCAAGCAGCTGTGCGCTGGATTGGTGACTAATGCTGGACACATCGACTACAGAAGAAGACGGTGACACATCCTGCATCTATCATCAGGCGACGGCGTCGTGTAGAAGCGGCGTGCGAAAACAACTGCTTCAGCGCATCAGTGGCGATGTCAGGCTGACCTGTAGTTGCCCATCACGATGTGATACATGGTCTCAGCATCGAGTGGCCTTTTGTCGGGTCCGCCGCTTCTTCAAATCGCTCGGCGATAGTCACGACGACGCGTGTTACGCGTACAAGGATAATGCAGCATGTTCATGTGCTAACGGTGGGCATGCAGAGAGCAGTCGAGGCCTCGTCAGGGCCCTTAGTATCGTCGTCTAGAGGGAAGTAACGGCGGCGTCGCCGGGTCGTGCGTACCGCGCAAAGAGGCTGCGTGGTTGTGTGGGCACATAAATAAGACATGACGTGCGCTGTCGCTTGTTTATGTACATGTCGGAATGCATCAGAAAGGGCGAACGCAACCGAGCGGAAAGTCGAACGTAGCGACAGAGAATCGGTCGTGCGACGGGGGGACCTCCAGAAACGTATACCCTCTCGACTTCGCACGCCTCGTTTCTCCGCCCCATCCTGTCCCATTCATTCACCTGCATGATCCGACCCGTGGACAGGACAATGAGCACGGGCGCGTCCGATGCGCTGCCGCGCGCCTCGAGCAGCAGTTCCCTCAGCGAGCGCTCTCCGCTGCTGCGGGC